CCTTGCTCCTATTTAATTCTCATCTTACTAATAAGAGTTTAGTTAAATTAATATTTAATAAAATAAAATTTAATTTAAATTTTTTTTTATGATAACCCCTAATATTTATGAATCACATTAGAAAGTTATTTTAACACTTATTTTTTCATTCATAAAATTATTTATAAAATTTGAACTTAAACTCAAATTTTTTCTTAAAAGAATCGAGTTTTTTTTTTTTAAACTAATAACTTATTAATATTCTGATTTAAAATTAGATAGATATTAAATCTGTTATAATAATATATCAAACAAATATATAATCCTCCGTCAAAAATAAAGTTAAAATCACTAACCATTGATTAACCCTAAACTACAATAAACCAACCATAAAGTAAAGGTTAAATCTCTATTTTGGTCCTTCAACTATTTTACAGACCCTTGATTTAGTCCCTTAACGCAAAAAATACCTAATTTGGTCCCTCTTATTTACTATTTTAACCCCGATTTGGTCCTTCCATTAAAAATCCACTTACATGTCCTGTTAACTAGCAAAAGCACAATGACATGTCAACATATTAAATACAAGCAAGAAGATAGCATGGCAAAAAAAAAATACTTAAAAAATTCTCTTCTTTCCTCTTTCTCTTTCTTCTTCCTTGCCTTCTACAAACCCTAAAGATGAACCTGCAATTGCCCCCCAATGAAACTTGCAATTTCAACCTTTCATTTTTTTCTCTCTCTATCCCTCACCCAACACCAGATCTAGACATTTTGCCTTCCAATTTCTCTCTTTTGTTGGGTTTGAAAGCTGGGTTCCTTGAACCCAGCAGGAACCCAACATAACTAGGTTCTTTCAAACCCAATAGCTGCTAGGTCAATTGAACCCAGCAACCGCTTCTTCTTCCTCTTCCTTTCTTTTCACCTTCTGCAAACCCAAACACTTTCTAACATCAAATCCAAATATAACACAAACATAAACCTAGAATCTCCCTAAAATAGTCACTACCCTCTCAGCCTTCCAAAAAACCTAGAAAAATTAAGGTATCTTCAATTAAACCCAACAACAATTCTTCAATTGAACCTAGCATTCTTCAATCAAACCCAGTATTCTTCAATCAAACCAATCAGGGGTTCTTCACCTGTTGGGTTCGATTCGATGAACCCAATGAACCCATGACGTCGCTGGGTTCATCCATTGAACCAAGCGACGTTGCTGGGTTCCTGCTAGGTTTAATCAATGAACCCAATAGGCGCCTCTGGGTTTGATCATCCCAACATGAACCCAATAGGCGTTGTTGGGTTCATTAATCGAACCTAGTAGGCATCAATCAAACCCAAGGCCCCTAAGGCCAATGAGCAAGGATTTGGGGGAAGAAGATGAATGCTAGAGATGAAAATGAAGGGGTAACGAAAGGAAAATGGAAAGAAATTGATGTGTGGTTGAAGATGAGGGTAAAAAGCAATTTTAGTTTTACAATTAATTTTAAAAATTTTAATTTTTACTGAAAATTACATGTCAAGTTTTATATGCCATGCTATCAATCCCACATGTCAAAATATTTTTACATGTTATCATTTTTCGTCAACTAACAGGACACATAAATGGATTTTTAACAAAGGAATCAAATTGGAGTAAAAATGGTAAACAGTAGAATCAAATCAGGGATTAAATCAGAGATTTTTTGGGTTGAGGGACTAAATCAGAGGTCCGTACAATAGTTGAGGGACCAAAATGGAGTTTGACCTAAAGTAAATATCAATAGAATTGGAGGTCTTGTGCTAACGTGGGAGGGTAAAAACGACTGAAAAGAATTATAATATATATATATATATATATTCATTTAAAATTTTCTTTAATGTTGCTAGTAGTTGAGAACGTGACATGTTCTACTTAATGTAGAAAAATCAATT